CTTGCTCTCTTAACACTCACTCACTTTGCATTTACTTGGACATTCATATTATATCTGACTTGCCTTGCCTTTTTGCACATTGTAGTAGCAATGAGAACTTACAGCCCCATATCATTTCTTGCTTGACTTGCTTACTAGAGAATACAGAAAGACAGGCAACATGATTGCTAGCACCAAATAATCAAGGGGTACACCTATAGCATATGATCAGGGGTTTGAGTGGCATACTTCAACCAAATTGCCTTGACTGGAAGTCAAAGAGAGGGGTCACACCTTTGAAAAGTGAAGGGCTCTACAGTCATGCAGGGTTTGCTGCAGCACAGTTAACAGCATCATCTGATCTCAGTCCAGGGGGTTAGTAATGATCAATCAGGAACTTAGTGTTACAACTAGTCTCCAGGCGAGGTTTCCCAATCTGTTACAGTTCTAGACAACTCTTTCAACTCCTGGAAGGATGAACTCGCTCCCCTTTTTATTCATGTGCCCCCTCAGTTGGGCACAAGGTTAATTTAAAAAAGGATCCCTTCCCTTCCCTTCTTGATTCCTTTTCTGCCAGACCAAAGGAATTTGGGTTTTAAAGGAACTATCAACATCCTGGAAATTACCATTGACCAGAAACTCAACTAGACACTCCATATAAATACATTGCCTACAGGTCGAGATCAGAGACTGGGAATACTGTAGCAAATAACTCCAATCCTGACCCTGCAAAGCCTGTTCACCATTTTCAAGGCATAATTTGAGAGTGTGATGGAATATTTCTCACTTTCCTAAAGGTTTGCAGCTCCAACAACACTCAACAAACTTGACACTATCCAGGATAAAGCAGCCCATCTGACTGACACCACATCCCCAAGCATCTACTCCTTTCACCACTGACAGTCAGTAGCAACAGTGTGTTCCATCTACAAAATGCACTGCAGAAATTTGCCAAAGATCTTTAAATAGTACCTTCCAACCCCACAACCACTTCCATCTGGAAGGACAAAGGAAGCATGGGAACACAGCTCCCTGCAAATCCCACTCCAAGCCACTCATCATCCTGGCTTGGAAATATACTTATTCATTTTGTGGGATGTGGGCATCGCTGGCTGGCTGGCCAGCCAGCATTTATTGCCCATTCCTAGTCACCCTTGAGAAGGTGGTGGTGAGCTGCCTCCTTCAACCACTGTAGTGCACATGTTCTGGGTTGACCCACAGTGCCATTAGAGAGGGAATTGCAGATCCTTCATTGTCGCTGGGTCAAAAATCCTGGAATTCCCTCCCCAGGCATTGTGGACCTACCTACATTACATGGATTGCAGCAGTTCATGAAGGCAGTTTGCAACCATTTTCTCAAGGGCAACAAAGAACAGGCAATAAATGCTGGCCAGCCAGCCAGCAATGCTGACATCCCAGGAGAGAATAAGAATAATTAACCAGATTTTCTTTAGTTAACAAAGAAGTGCATTTGCTAGTTACTAACAAGAAGAATTAATAATGCAAACATAGATTAAAAATACAAAGTGAACTCCATTGGATAGTTTAAAAATGAGCGGAGGCAAAGCCCTAATACGAGGTAAATAAAAACCGAAAGAACTGCCGATACTGTAAATCAGGAACAAAAATGGAAGTTGCTGGAAAAGCTCAGCAGGTCTGGCAGAAGAAAAAATCAAAGTTCTGAGGAAGGGTCACCGGACCCAAAACATTAACTCTGATTTCTTTTCTTCTCAGATGCTGCCAGACCTGCTGAGCTTTTCCAGCAACTTCCGTTTTTGTCCCTCATACAAATTGCGCAGTATTACCTTTGGCCTCCACGATCACTTCATTAAAGTGCTAAGACTTGGCTGCACAGATGAGTATATGGGTTAAACAATCGGATATCCAGGATGCTTCTTGAAGATGAGTACTACCTCAATGTAACTTCTGTCTTCCTTCAGACGAATGAAGAGACTGCTTAACTCTGTCTTGGTAGTCATATAAGCAAGTCCTACTACTGAAATAACACCTGATCAGATATATGACAGGTGAAAGCACATGTATATTTACAGAAGTGAAAGTGGATTTACAATGATGTGTCACTTGTGCTACCTATATTTCCTCAGCGCTTTTTTTCATTACCCTCCCACTATATCCAGGTGAAATCCTGGATTCTGCAGTTCAAGTGGAGGGAGTCTGCTGTGTCATCATCGAGCTTGATGATCGGCTATGATGATAATGAATGGCAGAGTAGACTCAAGGGATTAAATGACCTACTTCTGCTCTATCTTCTATGTATTTTTTCCATTGATCCTATTGACCTGGAAGATTTGGGCAAACAAATCCAGAGGCTTTTGTGGCCAGAAGTCCCAAAGAAGTGGAGAGGATTCTGCCCAATTGTAGGCTCAACCTCCTCAGCTGCATCATCTACGGGGTTGGGGATCATAGGCAGGGATAGCTGGTCAGGCCTGGCCCCTCTGGGGTATCCTGAGAGGAAACCTCTGGGCAGTCCATGCGTGGTTCCTCCCCATTCTGGGTGCTTAATGGCACCACCTTGCCGAAGGGGCATCTGTAGTGAGGTGAAGTTCACTCGTCAAGTTCTCGCCTTGCTGCTGATGCTGAACGCTAATAACTAAAGTAATGGATTGCAGATCTGCTTGTATCTCAAGCAGCCATTGAGCACTCTGCGCAACCTAGCTTTCCATGGTGGCTGAAAACCTGTGCATAGAGACAGCAAGGTAGACATGTGGCAAAGCCAGCAAGGTAAAAATTGCATTGGTGAACTCGTCTAATCTTTCAATCCAGTCTATTAAATGTCTCCAACAAACATGCTTGCTGTTTCTGTGACTGTACATTGGCAAAATATCATTAATGGCACACGATGGGTCACCTTCTGCCTGGAACTGAGTAGGTGCCTGGTCTCTAGCAGTCTTTGGAATACCTCACCCAACTGTGGAGATACGCCAATGATGTGTTCACCAAATTGGTTCACAAATGACACTGGTTCTTTGGTTTTGTTTGACAGTCTACAGGACAAAGGATGGCCCTCCTCTCCACCAGCCAGTCCATCGGTACCTCCAGGACCCTTTCTTTGAAGCAAAATGTAAACTTCCCAGCTGCATCAGGCACTTCCAACACTGCTAGTGCACGAGAAGAGCACCATAGAGACTAAATGCATGATAAGATGCACTGCAACAACTCGCTAAGGCTCCATTAGCACTGCCTTCTGAATATTGTTGTTCATTCATTGTTTTTGAACCTGAATTTTCCCTTGAAAAGCACTGGGTGTATCTAACACAGCAGTTCAAGAAAAGCCACTCACCACCACATTCTCAAGGGCAATTGAAATGGTCAATAAAAGTTGGCTTGCTGACAATGACCACGTTGTGTGAACGATGAAAGAAAATGGCAGATTTGATGCAAACATAGACTACTGATCTGCAGATATATAGTTTCTGATTATTCACAGTCCAGTGACAAAAATTTGGGACTTCTTGCAAATTTATTCTTATTAAAATGCCCAAACTATTGTAGAAGTGAGAACTTACTTAATGAAGCTTAAAATTTTAGAACTACAGTGTATTTGCATAGCAACAGAAACTGGTTCTGATGCACACTCAGAAGCATGTGATGGAACCTGTTTTTCCTGTTTTCTACTTAATGGCCATTTTGACATTCATGAAAGAAAAGTCATTATGTATCTTGGCTGTACACATTTTAGCTAACATAACATACATAGATGTTTCTGAAGAAGGGTCTAGACCCGAAACGTCAGCTTTCCTGCTCCTCTGATGCTGCTTGGCCTGCTGTGTTCATCCAGCTCTACACCTTATTGTGTCATACATAGAGGCTGATTTTTTAAACAGATGACCAAATCCTATCTCTAGAACCCACCTCAGCTCTGGAATATGACACGATCCTGAGGACACATTGCCTGTGACCTTTCTACTGTCTAAGTGAGAACAATTTCCTTCCCCTGAACTGCACCCCCTGCCGACAAAAAAAGGCTGCTATCCCAAACAGACAGCTAGGACCTCAGTAGTATTACTGCTAGCAATGGCACCGAGACAGCAACTCCTTGGAGATGGTACAACAATGGCAAGATGCCCTTGAAAAGATTAATTCACTTCAGAAATGTTACGTCCAGACAAGCAGGATATGGCAATTCAAGTTGTGGGGAATGGGAATCTGGTGCACCAGCAACACTGTTGATATGCAGATGGTCATTGATACTAAAGGGTCCCACCATGGACCATGGAGTGTCCATCAATGAGGAACCTTGCCCTGGAGCTTGGTGGGTGGGCACATTGCCAGACAAGTCTCTCTCTTGTGGCAGCAGGCACAACCAGCATAGATGAAATGGCTTTGGGTGCAGGAAGTGGCCCTTAATTGGCCATACAAGTGTTTAATTAGCTAGGTTGCCTGCTGCTGGTGATGTGGCAACCGGAAGATGTCAGGATCCCATCCTATACCATCTATGAAATATTGCCAGCATTTCATGAATGGGCTGGAAAAACACAGCACAGTGAGTAAAACTAATAAGCCAAAATTTGTTTTCCTTTTCATCATTATGCAGTGATTGGTGTTTGCAATACTTGTATTTGTGCATTGTGACAAGTTTTTTGTTTGATGTGTTGATCAGATTGCCAGCACTGAGTATTGAGGTTCTTATATGAAGGATCAGCAGTAGGGGAAGGCCCCAGAGGATATTTATTTCCTCAGAAAGGTATAAAGGCGTACTACACTATAGCCCTTGTTCTTTTTTATCTAGGTTCCAATTATTGAGATTACTAATTTAGTTTAACAGGTGTTATTTCCTACTCTGTCTATTTAAAAGGCAACCATTGATGAAAATGGAAAATATATAGCAGTGAATTTTGATATGTGACTTTTCAAATATATATAAAAACATTCAAACTATTTTCATAATACACAGTGGATTCTTGGCTATTTATTCTTATGTTGCAGAAATGTATAAACTGCTTTGAAGTAAAAGATAATCTTCCTATTCTGTGAATTAGTAATATTATTCTCATCTGCAGAAAATGTCCCCGGGGCAACAGAATTCAAAGACAGAAGCAAAATGCAACACATTACAGTTCCGACAACACAACAAGAGCATCAACAAGATTAATTTAAAAAAAGCATGATTGTACAGCTGCAAAAATAATTACACAGAGTTTGGACTATTATCATACAAGATGGAACAACACATGTTGCCTTGCATTTGTGGTATACTACACCAATGAATACATATACTACAGTTATATTTGATTATGTCTGAATATATTTCAAATAGTATATAGTGTCTTGATGTGTTTTTCTGTAATAAAAATAAATGGTTAACGATTTATATCACAATATTGATTTAATTTGCACATGAAGAACTATAAAGCTGGACTAATGGAAAATAAATACTTCTGTGATGTTTCTGAATTTTTTAAAAGATGAAATGTGCTTTGAATTTTTTTTAAGAAGCAAGTAATTTGTATGCTCAGTCAGATATTACCTATGTTAAGTAGAGAAAATAAGATTCTATACTGTTAATTAAAAAATTAATTTTGGGAAGCTATGAGTTAACCAGGGGTTCTACCATAATTTTTTTTACTCACTTGTTACCAAGGCCAGTGAGCTTAAGAAGATCCATACATTTATAAAGAACATTGCTATTTATCTGAATTCAATAGTATTGTATACATGACAGTGTAACACATCGTGACAAAAAGGATCAGTCAACAAGGCTCTCTCAATTTAAACAGATAAACTACAATAAGTGTAATTAGTGAAGTATCCTATTTTATATTGTGTGTGCTTTTGCACTAGCCTAATTCAAAATGCACCTTTTACATAAACACAAGAACGTACATTTTAAAAGCAACTTTTACCAATTGCTTACAGGTCACCCTTAGTCAAAAACAATGATTAAATGTGTTGCATTGACCAAAGTGGTAGTAACTAGAGAATCACACATGTACTTTTTGATAATGACAAAGAATAGTTAGGGCATTGTTTTGCTCTGTTATGGATCCTCATTTGAAATATACATTTCCAGTGCTAACGTTTCATAATAATATGAAAAAATAAAAATATTACTTCAGACATAGGCAGTTTTGAATGGTTTTCTTAGTCTCGTCACCGTTACTGTGTATCCATTAACAATTACATGCCCAGATCCCAGAGTTGTCTAAGCAATTGTGTAGAACTAAAAGTTGGAAGATTAGACAAATTGCTGAGCAAATTCAGCCAACTAGATTACCTTTGATCAAGCACAATGCAAGCAGAGTTTAAACACAAAAACATACTCGAGTGTATGCTGAATAATTCCTATATATTACACACGGGGTCAAGTGTTGATCAAGATTTCCTCTTTTCTGTTGTAAAGGGAACAAGCATTCTTTTTCCTATGTAAGAGTCATGTATGAAGAGAGCAAGACAAAAATACATCATAGCCCATCTACTTTCTTACTTAAATGTGTGCGTACCTTTTAAATCTTATGTATGTTATATGCAGATACATAAATATTTAGGTATTTTAGGTTACCCATGAAATTATGATCCAGATTTTGCTGTAGAAATAATGGTGAGGCAATGGCATTCACAACATTAAAATAAATCAGAAAGCAACCTTCAGTAGAACAGAATCTCACCAAGGGACTGAACAATGAATTATATGAAGTTCCTGTACTTGTGTCACTGATGTACACTAATTTCTCTAAGCAAACGCTTAGGGCTTTCCATTCAAATATATAATTTTTTAACGATGTGATAAATCCTAATTTTGGTCAAACAATCACTCTGGCCCTGAAAATTAATTTTTAACAAGTAAGGACTCTTATTCCATAATATTTTAATCATTGTTGTTTCTAATTTCCTTTTCAATAATTACTTTTTCTTCTCGTGCCGGCTTTCTTTATCTCTCTTTGTTTTGTTTTATGTATCTGATATTCTGTATTTCATCCAGAGTTGAGCTTCTGATCACACTTTCACAATAGCTGCAACCACCTATTTCCACCTCTGTACTTTCGTATTTTTCTTGACCAACTACTACTGAAATCATTATTCACTTATTTGTTGCCTCTCGACTATACCAACCTACTTCTGGCTGATCTCTCATAATCTACTCCCCCCACCCCCCGACTTTCCATGTTAACTTGAGGTCACCCAAGGCTCTGTTGCTGTGTTTTAACTTAGGCCAAGTCCTCTTCTATCACTATTGTGCTTGCTAACATATTTTCACTCCCAAGTCAAGCAAATGCTTTGAAAGAAAATCAAATTTCTTTTTTTTTTAAAAAAGCTCTCCCCCATATTTCTGTATCTATCTCAAGCCACACAACGTTCTGAAATATTTATGGCTGGAATAGTGTAGACAGTTATTGACCCCTTTGGAAAGATATACTGGCATTAGAGGCCAAAGAAGGTTCACCAGGTGAACATTGGGTACAGAGGAATTTCCTTTATGAGAAGAGGTTGAAATTGTACATAATGGAATTTAGAAGAATGACAGACTTTTTTGAAACATACAAGATTCTTAGGGTATTTGATGGGGTAAATGCGGAGAGGAAGAGTCTAGGACCAGAGGTCATAATGGTGTAAAGGGTTGCCCATTAGAGATGAGGATTGTCTTTTCTCTTGAAGGGTAAAGAATCTGGAACAATTTACTGCAGAGGGCTTGAGAGGCTGGGTTGTTATGTACATTCAAGGCTGATATAAATAGATATCTAATCATCATTAAAGGAATCAAGGACTGTAGGAATTCAATAGAAGAGTGGAGTTAAGGATTGTCAGGTCAGCCAAGATCTCACTGAATGATGGAGTGGACTCAATGAGCTGAACAGCCTATTTCTGGTCCTATGTCTTATGACCACCTCTAATTTTGATGACGACCATCCTGATTTTAAAAATCCCTCTAGTTTTGGTGGCTGTGCCTTTAGCTGCGTAGGCCCAAAGCCCTGGAATTCCTTCCCCATATTTCTCTACCTCCCTTACCTCATTTAAGGCTCTGCCATAAGGTTAACTGTGGTCATCTGACAATAGGCTGGATTTTTTTGGAAGTGGCAATCTCAAATAAATTGCCCATCTGGTTTTTTGTGAAAGAGAGATCCACATTTCTAAAAGAAGTATCCGATCAAGATTCCTTCAGAAATGCAGTGCCATACTTGAATTCTGGCAGTTCTTTCACAGCACGAAACTGTCAGAGAAGGATAAACCATGCCCCTTTTCACAACATTCAGCTGCCGTATTGTGAAATTTAAAACGGACTGACAGTCACTTTGACAGCTGTTGTCAAACAGTAGGTACATAAAGGTAAGTGGTAGGGTGCCAGTGGGATAGAGTACCCAGTAAGAAGGGTGTCTGCTGGGGAGGGTGTGGGGTGCCAAAGATAGGATGACAAATTGGTAGGAGGTATAGGAACTGCTGAGTAGGGGAAAGAGGGTGGGGTGTCAGGGTAGGATGCCAGATGGGTAGGTCTAGTGGTTTTTAGGAGGTGTAGCTCGGCGTGTGTGTGAGAGTTAGCATTAGAACCCTCCAAGATCCGCTTTAAATGGAGACTTTCAGAGGGTTCCAGGCATATAGAAATTGCCCAAAGAAAAATTCAATTTCCCAGATAATTCCTTCAGTGCGCTACGACGGGAGATTCCATGAGGTCCCCATATTCAACTCCCGTCTATGCTTGTGTAACAACTGTCTGGGCCAATTGATTTCCTATGGCTCAGTAACATGTTTCATAATGGCATCTGTGACTTGCTTTGGGACATCGATTAAGTTAAAAATGCAATATAAATTGTTTTGTTTTTTCCCTTCACACTCATTTATGCCCATTTGAGGAATAGTAGGGAATGGTGGAGGGATTGGCAGGCTAGTTATCAATCAATTGAACTATGCAATGAACAATCTCCGTAGTCAACAAGTCCTGAAGAGATTCTTACACCTGGAGCTACCTATCAAGCCACAAGATCTCCTGCTATATAAAAATAAATTGTTGTTGATTTGACATTGAATGAGTTTTTTCTACTTTACACTTCCTTATTCAAGATTTGCATTGCTCCTTAAAGATTATTCAGTCTGATTGCTTGGGGAGATAGACAAGTGTTTGACCCTTTCATAAAGGCTGCTATGCAAAAATCGCCTACTAGTCACAAAATAGAGGCGTTCCAAGCTACAGTGCAAAATCCCATTGAAAGTTTGTGGGGCAAGAGAGGCTGAAATTAATGGTTGATGGTGATTGTTCTCTACTAACAGCAAAATCCAGTCCATTAGACTGGATTACCATTAGTACATTGTAGTATTACTATAGTGAATAATCCAACTTGTTCAATTTATCACAAGCAATTTAGCATTTCTAACCTTTCATTTTAAAAGGCATAACAATTATGTACATGTTCACAAGAAAAACACCTCTATTGGAGTCTTTACACAAAGTATTTTATATGATATCCAGTCAAAGTTTTTGATCAGGCAGTGTTTAGTGCTTGTGCAATTTCATCACTACACATAATGGTGCATAGCAATGGGGCATTACAAGATATGCTCGCAGTATAGATTTGCTTAATAATTAGCATCCTTTTGTTAATTAGATTTATGATTTAAAAAGTTATTTCATTGCTAAAATTAAGACCTATGCTGCAAATAAAAAAAATGAAGTTTGTGTAACTGAAATGCTTTCAAAGACCAATTACAGTTTTCATACTCCTGTAAACTTCCAGTCTCTGCATCTGTAATTGTCAGTAACCATTCTTAGTTTAAGATCTACAACTTAATAAAGCATGGGTAAACAAAACATCTTTGAGGTTTGTGGTGTTCTGCTACAATTGACATCCACATTCCCAAGGTTAGGGAAGAGAAAATTGTCTTGTATTTTTGCTCCTGTTACTTTCTTCAGCTATTGCTGGGAGGCAATTGTGCAAAGACAACATTGATGAAGACAGCATTAGGCTCAGTTGCCTCAGAAGCATGATCAAATAACCTTCCAGTTGTCACTGTCTAAGCTCTTAGATAATTAACATTATCATTTAGGAACAGTACCAGACTACAACCAACACTCATGAGCTTGTATCTGCATTAGTTATCAATTTCAGTAGAGGAACTGAGAAACAGCAATTCTATCACTATCAACTGCAGTCTAGATTTTTTAATCATGAAAATCTTTCTACACACACACACACACACACACACACACACACACTAACTCATGTTTTCCTTCCCTTGCCTATACATGTCTTTCACTTAACTTCACTGCCGTTTGCTCTATCGCTTTAATGAAACTGAAAACAAAAAAGGTGAAGTCCTTCAAGTCACAGTTCACCAACACAGGGCTTGAATACATTAAGGGCCAGAGATAGGTAGGTGCACACTCGCATATCCACACACAACGCAGAATCTTCTTACAGTACCAAGCGATCTGAAGGCAGAGTGTGAGGTGAATGGGACTCCTACTTGGAGGCAGGACGGAAGGTCCCATGTAAATCACACAGACAGCCAATTAGCTACACACAGTCAAGAAGCCCAGCTAATTGTGTGGCAGTCACCAATGCTGCTATTATCTCATAGTCATCAATGGTTCTTGAGCCATAATTAAATAGCAGCTGGAAAGGCATCTGTTCCCTGTAAACCAGCAGTACCATTCTGCTATATGACAGGTGGATTTTTAACTTGAACTGCTCCCAGCCCACCCAACCTGTCAAGTTTTACTTCCTGAAGCTGCAAGCCATCTCCCTGTACCATCCTGCTGTCACCTTTGACCTGCCTTCTATCACCCTTGATCCTGCTTTCATCGACCCTCAAACTACCCACCATCACCACAGATCAAATACCAACCTAGAGTTGCCCATCTGTCCCTAGCATCTGACTCCTGTCAATACACATCCATAATCCTTCCTATCTCCTCTTGAGCTGCTCTTGGTCACACCTCCCAGCACACCACTGGCCAGGACTCCTATCACCTGTCTATCATGCTTGATCTGCCTTTGGGAGCAATTTAACTTCCTTGTGTCATCCAGTTCCCTCTCTTTTCATTCCACAACCCAACTTCTCTCTCTTGGACAGCCAGGTCCAAACTACCTAGACACTGCTACCAGCACTCAATGCAACTAACAGTTCAACTTCTTTTCTCCAATCCGGTGAAGTTCTCTACACAAGTAAAAGAGCTCCTTTCTCTCCAAATCCACCAGGAAAACTATTATCTTGCCTAATGCAGGCCAATTATCCAGTCATTAATCTGAAGGCACATGATTCTCATTTGCTACTGACTTAATCATAAAGAATATAACTTTAAATCGGTCAACACTGTGTTTTGATGAATTAAAAATAGGTCCCTGCTGCTTTCTTCAGAGATAGTAAGAACTGCAGATGCTGAAGAATGTGAGATAACAAGGTGTAGTGCTGGATGAACACAGCAGGCCAAGCAGCAGAGGAGCAGGAAGGCTGACGTTTTGGGCCTAAAGGGTCTAAGCCCGAAACGTCAGCTTTCCTGCTCCTCTGTTGCTGCTTGGCCTGCTGTGTTCATCCAGCTCTACACCTTGTTATCCCTGCTGCTTGCTATTGGGAATCATTATCAGTCTTTGATCTGCCAGCAAATCAATTCTCAACTTCCATCCTGGTGTAACGAAGTTAATTCACCTCCTGCATAATTGTTTATACCTGCCTCATTTTCCTTTCCTGGGTGCTTTAATAATTTCCACGCACAATCATGGCAGACACATATGCACACATGTTTAGGGACAGCGAGATAAACATTCAAAAGACACAGTCAAGGACAGACAGACAAACACTAAAACCTAATCAGGAAGGGATAAGTATAACTAGGAGCAGGAACAACCACACCCACAGGCAATAAGTGACAGCCTGCAGAGGCAGACACGCAAAAATACAATCAAGGGCAAGTAGGCACGACATTAGGACAGACAGGCAGCAAAACACACAAACTGACGATCAATGACAAGCAGGCACTATACACAATGACAAAGAACAGATATATACACTCATATATGATTGGCACAGGCAGAACACTAAACACACCACCCATGACAAAGGCTGACATACATAGCCACACTACTGAGACACTTGGGGCAGGCACGCAGATGGATTTAACTAAACACAGTGACTATGTAAATGAGATTGAGTGAAAGCTTTCTCAGCCACTGTTGGTTAGAGCTAATCTATCTTAATACCTCAGCATTGATAAAAAGTCAAAACTTGTCAAATCACCTTAAAAGGCCTGCATCACTGTTAAAAAGCTGTGTTCCTCAAAAATATGTATAGCTCAAAAAAATGTCAAGAACAATTGGTCAAGCATAGGTGGTAACTGCAGTGTTGAGTTTTAAGTGATTAATTAGCCAAGCAGATGAACTGGTAAAGAGAATCCTGTTTACCTCTAATTGCCTACTTTCCCATAATCACACACACTGAAACTAGTTGTGCAAACACAGGCAAATACATCCTTGTATATATGTCGGAGCTTGGGTCACGTATTGCATTACTGATATAATGAAGTTACTTGCCAGTTCTGTTCCTATAACTTTGAATTTCATTGTGATTTTTTTTAAAAAACAGAAATAATAATCAGTTGCCAATTGTTGTAGTGAATACCAGTTGAAAGTGGCTGTTAACAAAACTTCCCACCCCCAACTCATGCCAGCAAAGCCAAGAACTCCAAGTTCAGGCCAAGAGTCATAGAGCTGAATGATTGTCCGTGTATTCCTGGGCAGAATATTCGCAATCATCGGACTGGTGAGACAACAGCAAGAAATGTGCCAAAATAAGGTGAGAATGAAAATAAATACTATTTTCAACGTTAAGAAAAATGAAAACCTCACGAGTAAGCAGTGTGTCTACGCATTGACGATCTTATTATTAGCCAATCTCACCCCATGTATGCAGTTCAAGATTCTCTCCCGCACTAGTGAGAAACTAGATGACGTTAATCTTCAACTTGATTAGATGCAGCTCACCGCTTCCTTCTCCAAATCCAACTCACCACCATCTCGTTGCATACTTCATGAACAGTGACCGCCTGCACCCTTTAGCAGAAGGCTACTCTCTGACCTACTGAACGTTTTCAATCAATGCAACACTGACTTGTGGAATCAAGTCCTCTGTAAAAATCCATCGAGCAGCCACTGTGGAGAGATAATCAATTACTGCTTCCAAGACCTTTGAGAATGACATGACGTTAGTAACCTCACCATTTTTAAGCAAGGAAAAGAAATTGACTTTTTCCTCTCTCCATAGATGCTGCCTGAGTTGAATAATTCCAGCATATTTTCGTTTTTATTTGTCCTGAGTTCTAGCATAAGCTGGTGGGTGGGTGTGTGTTTCATGTGGAATATATAGCACAGATGGGAACGAGGAAACTTCTCTAAACAACTATGTGGAAGGATACGTGTTGCCGGAACTAAAGTCGTAGGTTGTTGCTGTGGTGTGCAAATATATTTACAATAAAAATACGTGGGAAATCAATGATTGCTGAACATGACTCTCAAGATTCGCGTCTGAGTATACATTGTTGCAGTGTACGGGGTGTTGAAAATTAAAGATACTTTAGTAAACTATCCTGAGCACTTTACATCACAAGTTAAATATCCCTAGCCCCTCCTTCACATTCCATGGATTCAACTGCAAGAACTTTACTGCCATCTGCAGGAAAACTTTCGCTCCTACCAAGGCTGTCTCGGTCTATCCTTCCCCAAGCCTGGGCTGGGAAGTCCTCGGCAGTTTTGAAAGAAACAGAGACACATGGACTCCAAAGATTTATTTTAAGTTTGCATTTAAATTAGATGGGTGCATGGAAGCAACGTTTGTTTTCTTTTTTTGAAAGACGTGTTTTAAAATAACCAGCTGCTGTTGCATTGCAATTGGCTTATTTTAAAGTTTGTTTGTGCAGTGTGTATAAAGGTCAGTGATGCGTACACCGCCTGAGTGTCCTATGAGGAGCGGCCAATGCACGGCTACATTTGCACAACTTAGAACATGGGAGCAAACGTCTAGGAAAACCGCACCCGTCACATCATTCCCTCCCCGCCCCCTTCAGCCAATTGCAACAGTGGGCCGGAGGCCAGGCTCGCTTTGATTTGCTTTAACAGGATCCGGACGTTTTGCAAAATGTTATGGCATTTATGGAAAAAATTAATTTCCAGGGGAGCTCAAACCCCGCCTGTAACAAGGCACAGTTTTACTGGGCGGACACGTATAGCACTGGACCTTGGGAGTTTTCCGTAACTGGGTCGCTGCAGGCAAGCGGTGGTGGGAAGTTACAATAAACAGCCCCAGGAGAAGGAGGAGGCAGCCGGGTTCAAAGAAAAAGAGAGAGGGAGGGGTGTGAGCTTCAGTCTTTGCAGCTTGCAACTCTCTCAAACTGAGAGCTGCAGCGCCGAGATCGAGGGAGGGGATCGAGTTGGTGGGGAGATGGGAGAAGACGGAGTGCAAACGGAGAAAAGCAGCGGGCAGGCCGTGCAGGGAACCCCGGAGGCTAGCCCGAGTGTAGAATCCAGCTCTTCCCCCAGCCCGGCTCCGGCAGGAGGCTCGCTGCTGGATGGCTCGCAGGTCAACGCGATCACGGTGCTGGCTCTGCTCGACAAGCTGGTGAACATGCTGGACACGGTGCAGGACAACCAGAGGAAGATGGAGCATCGTCAGATCGGGGTGGAGAGCTCGGTCAGGGGCATCCAGAGCGACATCACCAAACTTTCCAAGAGTCACAGCACGACCAGCAACACCGTCAACAAGCTGCTGGACAAGTCGAGGAAAGTCAGCAGCAATGTGCAGGAGATGCGGGAGCGCCTGGACAAGCAGGCGGTGCAGGTCAAGAAGTTAGAGAGCAACCAGGCGCAGCTCCTGAAGAAGAATAACTTCAGAGTGCTGATCTTCCAGGTAAGTACGGCCGGCCACTGGGCACCCTGCCCATCCAAGCAGAGCGGGGTGGGTCACAAAACCTCTGGGTAAAGTGACCAATATCTGTCCACAGCAACCTATGTTACTACTTATTGGCAAATTCAGAAGAGTATTCTGCACTTGGGAGTGGAATTAGCAATAGCACACGTCCAGCCTTTTTAGACTCGATGTCTGGACTGGACACAAGCACTCTCTTGAAGAAAGAATTACAAGTGATTAAATGTATGCACTACGTTGCATGTTTGGATCTCTTTCGATCAACTTGGTTAAAAAGCTGTTGGCTTTCATGGGGTCTTGTTTTGCAAGATTGACCCAAACAGTTTGTCTACGCACCTATGATATGTTTGAAATGTTGGCGATGTAATCGATACAGTCCCCGCCCTATCCACTGATTCCTGATGGTTATTCCATGTTGCTGTATGGCGGATTAATTTCTGTGTTTGGTGTATGAGCAGGTACGGGCTGGGGGTGGGGTGGGGAGGGATAGGTTTGGCAGTCTCTCTGAGCTGCGTGCAGTTCTGTCGCAGTCATTTCACGAGCCCGGGAGCAGCTCATTTTCGGGAAGGGTGGGATAGGGTTGGAATGCAAAGCGGTAAAGTTCGCAAAAGTCCCGCCTGAAACTTTACATCTCACAACAGCTTCTCAAACACATTCCAAATGTTTAGCATTAATTTGTGGGTTGCGAGGCTAATCTGTTTGAAGTCCTCATTTAAGAAAGCCTGCATTATCCATTTGAGTGAGATTGTAGGGGAATGAGTCACAACGCGGGGAATTCCTTCCAATTTAAGTAATCGTGGGCCACGTTTATTTTTACAGCAACCGCAGTATTTTGCTTCGGATTCCTTGGACTTCGAGAGATTCTCTCCAGATTTGATCTTCAAGAAAAGTCAAAGCACATATATCATAACAGTGATTAGCAGTCGAAATGCATTGAGATGCTTTTCGACCACATCTTTCCATCTTTGGGGTTTCCAACTCATTACCTGATTGATTGGTAAGACCCTCAAAGTGAGGAGGACTCTTGCCATGAGCACTGGCCCTGACAAGAACCAGCCAGCCTGGTGTTTTAAAAGTGGGGCGACTGTTGTACAGGGCAGCTGTCATTTGGCATATTGGGAAAAATTACAGGTTTGTAATCGCTTGATTGGTCATAGTCATGAAAGGTGCCTTCGTATTATCAAATCCTGGACTGGGACTCAAAGAACTGGGAAATTAACCAGGGCTTGAAGGTAAATAATTTGCTTTTAATATTTTGGGTTACCTCAACCCAAAGCACAAGTGCCCAGAAATGTATCGGATGAGAAACAGGGCAAAGATACATATAAAGACAACAGGGCTAAATCTCAAATAGAGTCAACACAGCAAATGAGAGCTAAGGCAATCTTTCAGTCTTGGCACAATTCAGAGTTTTTCTGATTCTATTTACCAACCTCCAAAGATAAAATTTTTGTAGTAGCCTTACTCACATTTTCACACATCTCCCAATCAAAGAGCTAATTTCTCTGTTTACTGTTGCATGTGTATTTTTCAGTCGGTTGTGAGGTTGTTCACTTGCCTTTTTGATGCGGAACTTCTTAACAATACATTATAGCTGAATGTTAGAAGCAAAATATTAAAAAGCTAAGTAGTAGTAGTTTTGGTCTGTAGCTAATTTTTTTTGAAAAGCTATAATTATGTTTTTAAAGTTCTATAGTGTGAGCAACTGTTGATTTATGCTTGATGAATAATTGCAGGAGGAAACAGAGATTCCAGCCAAAGTTTTTGCTGAGAAGCCAAAAGAAGATGTGGCAGAAGAAGCAGAAGGACGTGTGGATGAGAACAAACCAGTGGAAGGTAGCCTTCCTTCACTGGAACTATCCTCAGATGAAGACATCCATGAAGATGAAGATAATGGTGGTGAAAGATCCGAGAAGTTGGAAAAGTCCAGGGCTGCAAAAATCAAGCGATCAAGCATGAAGAAAGTTGACAGCATCAAGAAAGCATTTTCCCGTGAAAACATTGAGAAAAGGATGAATAAGTTTGGCACAAAGATTGTGTCTCCAGAAAGACGAGAGAAGATTAAGAAGTCGCTCACCCCCAATCAACAGAAACCGCAGTCAGCTAAGTCCTCCAGTTTCAAAGTAACCCCCATGACATTTAAGGTGAAAAAGGTAAGGAATGGGGAGACTCCTCCACAGAGCCCCAGTGACACAGTCAATACCATGGAAACTGATCCAGGTTCTCCTGAAGACAGCGAGTTCCCTGAAGTGCACTTGGGCCCTAATGTTTTAGCATCTGAAGAGGTTAATGAGATGATGGAGAATGCAGAAGATGAAATGAAAGAGGCAGAACTGGCGATGGGAAGTAGTAACAATCGGGGCATTGTGATGAAGGCAGATAGCACAGAGGAGGCTGGTATTCTTCTGGAGACTCTCCCTGAAGACCAGTCAGAAGGCAAAGTAAGACACATAGGCCCAAACATAGAGTTGCACATTGAGGAACCAGACGAGCCCGCTGTTTTGCAGATAAAGCAAACTGCCTAAACCCCTGGGAAATGGATCAATAATCCTCAATTTCTACACAAAAATCATGCTTATAGTTATTATTAGCTACTGTAACTCAATGGGAAGTGACAGGTTAGGTTAGAGAGACTGAAGCATGTTGTGTGAGGGAAAAATGAAAGAGAAGAGATAAATGAGTAATGGTCAAAGATATGAAAAATGGTACTGGGCTGTGTTTATTAAATTGTGTACTTGGTGAGGAAGCAGAAATGGCTTTGAAACGCTGGACAAAGTTTGTGTTACATGGTTTTTATACATAGGGCAGTGAAAGTTGTAGAACAAACACCAAGACAATGTACATCAAAATCTATCTGTTTCAAACATAAAAATGCTCTATTTTGATTCATAGCTGCCGACTATTTTGTTATATACCTGTTTTGGGAAAAAAAATAAAGAATTGTGCATAAAACTGGTTAACTCAAACTTTAACTAAAAAGGAAGTAGTATTGTATTTTTACTCCCGTTGTAAATGTAGGCAGTTCAACTACTCTGGTGTCATTTCATGGCCTGTGAAATGTGGATGAATTCCATTTTCTTTCAAACTTTACTGCTGATTTGAGTAAAGCTTTCCTGAGATATATTGCCACAATAATTATACAATCTAATTATCTCCATGTGTAATATATTACTTTGTGAACATTCTTGTTTTCCTGTTTGCTACTAAACAAAATTAAAGCTTAAAGTGTTTTATAATCATAATTAAATGTGCAAATAAAGGTGAATTAAAAGTGGTTTCTTGCTAGTTATTCCTGACTTATCTGAAACGACACAATGGTTGATTACCATAAATTAACTTGATATTAATTCGTCATTGCTCATTTTAAAAAGTGTAGAATACATATCTTCCTACATTTATGCCTAATTCCTGTAGGTGGCTGTGTTAGTCAGATTAACTGACAGTTGTTTCTGGTGTTGGTAATGATGAGTTTGATGGTGTCAAACAGAAGAATACTTTAGCATACATCCCAGTGACAGTTTGGGCACCAAAGCACATCTTCAAGAGGTCGATCATGTAATGTACTGTTTACTTGCCGGAATTTGTGTTGACATATCATGACTGTTCAAAACAAGATACTATTTTCAGCCAGGATTATGCATTAATCACAACTGGATTTCTTTTACCTGTCAATGAAAGCTGGAACAAAATCAGAAATTGCTGGAAAGGCTCAGCAGATCTGTCAGCATCTGTGGAGAGAAATCAGAGTTAACATTTTGGGTCATGTGACCCTCACAGCCTCTTCTCCACTGATGCTGCTCGACCTCCTGAGCTCTTCCAACAATTTCTGTTTTTTGTTTCTGACTTACAGCATCTGCAGTTCTTTCGGTTTTAATAAAAGCTGGAATTTGGAATAGGGATGCATAGCTTTACCTTTGTGTTCCTTTCTTGTAGACACCATTTGTGATCATGTTTTGGGTAAGGAAATGTACTCTACCTTTTTCTATTGGACAATAACTTGTATTTATTTACAGAAATATCTTGAGGTTTTCACAGAGGTGAAAGGAATGGGATACCAATAAATGACTTCTTAAAGGGGTTACTGAAAGCCCAGGACGACATTGTAGATGTTGGAGAGGAAGGCATTCTAAGGCTGTGTGGGTTTGACTGATTGAGCAACAAGGAGAGCTGAATGTATGGTTACACAAAAAGTACGAAGTTGACTGAGAGCACTGGCTTTGTATGGGAGTAAATAAATCAAAGGATCTCTCATTTAAAGTTGGCAGGGGTCGGGTAACCTGAAGTTAACATGGATAGATAGCAAGACTTTATGTTGGGTGGGAGGAATGATAATCGGAGGAAATAACATTATGACATAAAGCTAATGTAAGTGTGGCCGATCAATCCAGATTATGGTCTAATTTAGAGCACTGTGTGCCACAAACCACTTTTAATAAATAACTGCTACCATAAAGGATATCATACAAGATGATTTATTGTTACATCGTTGCAGTTTAAAGGATCGATTACTGTGTACCGAAAAATGCAAAGTTCTCGAAGCCTTGTATGGAGTCAGACAGCCATCTGCTGACTGAACTACACTCTGCACCGTTACTATCCCAAGACTCCATAAGGCAATGCAATACTTAGAAGCTCCATGCAAGACAGATAAAAAATTTTATAGAGTATAATGTTCTATTTCTAAAACAGAAAATCACCCAGTGCAACCTGATATTCTTCAATCCTGTAATACTGCCGAGGCTCTAATCCCAGGAATTCTCTCCCCAAACCTTTCTGTCCCTCTACTATACTCCTTTAAAGCACTCCTATTCCTCTTTTCAATGAAATCTTTAGCCATCTTCCCTCATAGCTAAGCCACAATATTAATAATGTCCCCATGAAATATTCTGGAGGAGACTTAGGTTTAAGGTGAAGGGGAGGAAATTTTAGAGATGTGTGAGGCAAGTTTTTTTTTTACACCAACGTTAGTAGATGCCTGGAACGAGCTGCCACAAGAGGTCATAGAGTCAAACAGAATGGAAACAGACTCTTTGGTCCAACTAGTCCATGCCAACCATGTTCCCAAATTAAACTAATCTCATTTGCCTGAATGTGGCCCATATCCCTCCAAACCTTTCCTATTCATATACTTATCCAAATGTCTTTTAAACGTTGTAACTGTACCTGCACCCACGACTTCTTCTGGCAGTTCATTTCACACACGAACCATTCTCTGTAAAAAAGTTGCTCCTTGTATCCTTTTTAAAACTTTCTTCTCTCACCTTAAAACTATGTCCCCTAGTTTTGAACTCCCCCACCCTAGGGAAAAGACCCTTGCTATTCAACTTATCTATGCTCCTCATGATTTTATAAAGCCCTGTGAGGTCACTCCTCAATCTCCTATACTCGAGGGAAAAAAGTTCCAGCCTATTTTTATAACTCAAAAATCCATTCCCAACAACATCCTGGTAAATCTTTTCTGAATCCTCTCCAATTTAATAATGTCCTTTTTATAGCAGAGTGACCAAAACTGCACACAGTACTCCAGAAGATGCTTCACCAAGAAGAGGCCCCCACCATTGCTCTGTACAACCTCAAAATGACGTCCCAACTCCTATACTCAAAGGGCTGAGCATTGTAGGCAAGCATGCTAAACACCTTCTCACCTGTCTATCTGTAATGCAGATTTCAAAGAATTACGTACCTGAACCCCTATGTCCCTCCGTTCTAGAACACTAGCCAGAGCCCTACCATTAATTGTTTAAGTCCTACCCTTGTTTGTTTTACAAAAATGCAGTACCTCACATTTATCCAAAGTAAACTCCATCTGGCTGTCTTCAGCCCATTGACCCAATTGATTAACATCTCTTTGTAATCTTTGATAACCTTCTTCACTGTCCACTCTACCACCAATTCTGATGTCCATCTGCAAACTTATTAACCAAGCCTCCTATATTCTGATCCAAATCGTTTACATAAATGACAAACAAAAGTGGACCCAATACCAATCCGTGTGGAGCACTGCTAGTCACAGGCCTCCAGTCCACCACCCTCTGTCTCCTACTGTCACGCTAATTTTGTATCCAATTGGTTGAAGCAGATACGATTGCAATGTTTAAGAGGAATTATACAAACACTTGAACAGGCTGGGAATAGAGGGGCATGGATCATGTGCAGCAGATGGGGTTAGTTTAGAATGATATCATGGTCAGCACAGACATGATGGGCCGAAGAGCCTGTTCCTGTGCTGTACTGTTCTATATTATATATATGTTCTATGATTTTTTTTATTACAGGAAAGGGTTGGGGTAAGCATTAAATGTAAATAGAAGTTGTTGTTGGCTTCCTTTTTAAATTAATTACTGGATGGCATTTCTGCCTACAGCAATACATATTGTCATCCCTGTTGCCCTTTATTCTGGGTTGTTAGTAGGGGTATGTAGGTCCAAACACAACGATGTTAGGCAGGTCCAAGACTTTGACCTAGAGACAGTGAAGGGACAGTGATATAGGTAGTCGAATCAAGGTAGTGGTTTATAGGGAAATTTGCAAGTAGCAATGCTCCCATGCAACAACTGCCCTTGTTCTTCTGCATGGTAGAGTTTGCAGATTTGAAAAGTTCTGTTAAAGGAATTATAACAGTACTTGTTTAGTTGCAGTGCTTGTTGAGTTATTGCAGTTAGTTCTGGAACACATGTCATCAGTACTATTGCAGAATTGTTGTCAGGGTCCATAGCCTTTGCAGTATACAGTGCATCCAACTGTTTCCTAATTTAGTTCACTCCACGCAAGATCAGGAAATGGCTCTGAAGTGCACAGCAGCAACTTCCAGAAGTCAATGCCGTGATTGACATGTCGTGCCAATCATGGAACATGGGTGTGGCTGTGACTGTGCAGCCATGCATCTTAGAGGGAGTGCTGCTCTCATTTCCTTCTGCACTCTTCATAAAACTCTGCCTCACAAGGTGCTGTAAGTGGGGTCATAGATCTTGACCCCCCCGGCTTGTTGGTAATGATAGAGTGAGGGATATTGTGTACTAGCTTTGTATTGGAAATCTAGACAGCATGGGTTTGCAGAATCAATATACAATTCAATTGAATGAAGAAAACTAGACTTGCATCTAACTTCCCAACTTAATTGTATTGCGACACAGAGCATCAAATGGGTCAGAGATAATACATTATGGGAATAAGTTTATCACTAACCTGGAAAAAAAATCCATCCAGAAAGATTTAGCAGGCTTTAAAGTTATGATTTTCTCATTAGCATAGGTTTTAATTTAGTGCTAACTACATGAGATCTCTGGCATCTACCAACAGGACAAATAGCTGGTAAGTCATCAGTCAATGATATTGAACAATTTTCACAGACAGTGAAGCAGTAAGTAAAAAGCAGGTAATAAGAAATAATTTTTTGTCCTGGTGAAGATTGAAACACACACTTTGGATTAAGATAAGTTCAAATATTACAAAACAATCTTGATAAAAGTGTTTGTGTTATGAAAAAATGTGATTTTTATATGTTTTTTCCCTTAAGGAATGAAACTCCACACAAAAAGAAAATTAGTCTTTCAAAACCAAAGGCGTTGTTACTGGTAATTCTGATTTTGCAAGTCAGTGCAGGACAAAGGACAGTATAAGGGAGCTGAAACAAAAAAACTGCAGATGCTGGAATCCAAGGTAGACAAACAGGAGGCTGGAAGAACACAGCAAGCCAGGCAGCATCTGGAGGAAAGGAGCAGTAAATATTTTGGGTATTACCCTTCTTCAGGACTGGATGTGGGGTAGGGGAGCTGCAGATAAAGTTGGGGGGTGGGTGGTAGCAGAATGGTGGTGATAGGTGGATGCTGGTAGTAGGTACAACCTGATTAGTTGATGGGAGGGATAAATCCGATCGGTAGCTGGAAGGGGGGAGGCGGGACTGAAAAGGGAGCCGAAGGATGAGTGGGAAAGTTATAAGAAATTAAGAGAACTCACTGTTGAGTCCTCTGGGCTGTAGGGTGGAAGATAAGGTGTTGTTCCTCAAATTTCCGTTCTGATTCACTGCAACACTGGAGGAGGCTGAGGATGGACATGTCGGAGGGGGAGTAAGGAGGGAGTTGAAATGGGTGGCAACTGGGAGGTTAGACTGGCCATTTCAGGCCAGGTGAAGATGCTCAGTGAAACAGTCACCTAGTCTACGTTTGGTCTCACCAATGTAGAGAAGACCACATCAGGAGCACCAGATGCAGTAGATTAGGTTGGAGGAGATGCAGGTGAAGCTCTATCTCACCTGGAAGGACTGTTTAGGGCCCT